GTCAACACCACCATTACTTTATAACGCCTCATGGCTGAACGGACAAGTATGTTCGGTGTGATGGGGATTCAAACCCCCTAACCACCAGGTCTAAGAGTTATGGGGATCTGATTTAGGTGTTTAAGATTGTTAAGGGAACTCATAGTGTTGATGCATAATGTTTTTCATATTTAATGGGGAGAATGGTGAGGGTGTTCAGAACCACACCCCACCCAATCAGAGAGGCATCTATGAACAGGTCTGAGTGAGGTGGAAGAAGGATCTTGCAGAATTGGTTGAATCACCATGACAATGAGTGGTTAAGAAATGACAGAATTCAGTAGATCTTTGGCCATTTTCAATTATATGCCAGAGTCCACTGAAGTATATGCAAATGGGTGCATCCAAGAAGTATATGAGACTCGTAAGGCTAGAATTCCAAGAAGAGACCGAACTTTTCTTTCAGAAAAAGATATGAGAGCTTTGGAAACCATAATCTTCATATTTTGGAGACATACAGGAAGAAGGCTGAATTTACTCAGCAAATGAGTTAATATAGACCATCAAATGAAGCAGATAAAGAATGGGATTCAATACTGGCATTGATAGCTTGACCACAAAACCCAAATGAGTAGAATCAAAGTAGAAGAGAGGTTGCAGTACATTAATGCCTCCCAGGATGGAACTAAAAGAAACCGGTCGTCTATAGTGTAGCAAATATATTAGATTGTCAAGAAATTAATGTCGCGTTTTGGAACATTTTAATTAACCACCCCCGAAAAACGTACTATAATAGTTAAATGAACTGCTTAAACGTTAGTTTATTGTAGTATATATAATGTGTAAAGTTTAGTATACTCTAATCCCTTATAGTGATGGCACACGACATGACACACATTCGGCATGTAATGCTGTTTGAATACAGGAGGGGAATCAACGCCTCTGTAACCAAAAAGAATATCAAAGAAGTTTATGGAAATGTTTTAAACATTCGTAAGTGTCAACCATGGTTCAGCAAATTTCGTTCAGGTGACTTTAGCCTTAAAAACAGGGGCCGACATGTTGGAATTGATATTGATGCTCTGAAGATGCTTGTTGAATCTAACCCAAGGCAACACACTCGTGAAATTGTACGTCTCTTATGAAACAATACGTAAACATCTAAGGAATATGGGAAGACTCCATAAAGAAGGTGTTTGGGTGCCTCACAAACTCTCCAATGATCATCATTTCCCATGTGTGAACGTTGCTTTGTCTTTTCTGGCACGTTATGCGGGTCAATTATTGGACAGAATTGTCACCGGTACTGAAAAATGGATTCTCTATGCAAGTATTAAATACCAAAAACAATGACTCAGTCCTAGACAAAAATCACTTCTGATCCCAAAACCTGGACTCCTTCTGCAGAAAGTGATGCTTTGCATTTGGTAGGACATCAAATGAGTAATTCATTTCGAACTCCTCAATTCACAGTGAACTGTCAATGCAGAGATCTATAGTCAGCAACTGGAACTTTTAAATCAAGCCCTTCATTAGAAATGCCCTACACTCATCAATCGGAAGGGGGTCTTCTCCATGACAATGCACGTCCACATGTGACATTTTGATGCAACACAAGATTATGGAGTTGGAGTGGGAAGTTCTCCCTCAACCACCATATTCTCTAGACATGGTACCATCAGTTTACCATCTTTTTCGTTTGCTGCAACACCATCTTAATGGGAAAACGTATACAAATGTGGAAGGTGTTAAAGAGGATATCGACATGTTTTTTTGTAAGATTGTAAGATGGAAAAGCATCATTGATAACAATGGAAACTATTTCATTTAATAAATATTTTGTTTTGATATACAAGTTGTTCGAGTTTTTTCATCCAAAACAAAGTGACATTAATTTCTTTACGACCTAATATATATATATAGATATATATCACAAGGAGTACATCCTCCATACAAAAGCACTCAGGCCGAGGTGGAAAACATATGGGGCTGTAGTTAAAGAGAAAGGACCAGGCCTAATCATCCCAATGTTTAAGTCAAACATAGGAAGCTACAGGCAGCAGGATGAAATAGAATGTGGATAAAAATATTTGAAACATCGACCTTGGCCATCCAAAACCTGGAAGTGATCTATGAAGCCTTCCATCTTGAACTGAGAGATGACAAGAAAGACTGGTTATGGGCTATTAATCCCATACCTTCTTGGGAAATACAAAAAAATAGTAGAAGAACTCCAGAAAATAAGGACCTGTTCTACTGTATATTCATTGTTTGGATGGTCTTCTTTGGCCTCCTCTAGGTGCCAAAGATGAAAAAGGTTTGAGGTTGGTGGAAGGAAGATTGAAGAAGGAGAAAAAGGAGGTTTAATGCTGAAAGAAAGAATAAACACCTGTGTTACCCAAGATTCTTCAGCAATGGAAGTCCACTAGTGTGAAAAGTGTAACAGTCAAGCTTTCACAGGTCCAAAGTTAAGGGATGGCTCCCGCAGCCAGTCAACTCCAAGGGCCTCAATAACTATTCAAAATGGGCTTTAGAATAAATAATAGGCCGAGTGTGAGGGGGCAACAAGGCTCATGAGGATGAGGAACCCGCTGAATCTTCATGGACCTAGATAAATTGGAAACCAAAGAGAGCAAAGACAACTGATGATGTACTATTTCAGCTCTAATTTCTTAAAGTATGAAGAATTTCCTAAAAACAACTTCTCAAAGAAGTGGTGTCAAATGGAGTTCCCTAAGGTAAGACTGAGGGACATGAACTCCAGAATGTAAACCATCCAAATCAAGCAAATCCTAGTAACAAAGAAACCCAGTTAAATTGGCAATAGGTTAAAAAAAATTAGGCCAATATAAGAAAAAAAAAAAAACATATAGGAATGACCTTCCCCAGTAAGGCTGTCACAGTTGCAATATAGAGCCTCAGAAAGGTCTAAAAACAACAGAAAACAAAAGTTAAGCAACCAAAGACAAAGATGAGTAGGTTGAGGGTGATTGAGAGAGAGACAAAGTAAGAGAATATGAATATCTCCAAGTTGGAAGAAGAAATTCAAGGTATTGATACTCTAGGAAAAAAGAACGACCTGATCACAGACCATAGTAGAAGTCTGGGAGGATGAGACAATAGGAAAGAATCTGCACAAACACAAATATTTCAAGAGGGTGAAAACAGAAGAAAGTCCAAGGTTGGAAGCTTATCCAATAAGTTTGCCCCTGAACTAGCAAATAACAACTGGAGTAAGAGTAAAAATGTGACATACAAAAGAAATCAGAGTAGCAAAGAATGGAGGTGGTGTTACTTGATTCCACTCTGGAATACAGAAACCAGAAGCAAAGGCAGGCAATTTGGAAAAGCTGATCAATATCATCCAAAGACATGGCAGGCTCAGTAGAATACATAGAAGCAGAAGGTTGCGAGTCCTCTGATGTTCTCTTTTCTTCTTCTTCCTGTAAGGCTAAAAGACTGTCAACTGAATCACCCCACAAAACTTGGGTGATGCAAAGCAAACACAAATAATACCAAAGAAACAACCACAAATTTAATGATAGCAGATCAGTAACAATACAAATTGGTAATTTCATGAAATACTTAGACAAATACTGCAGACAAGTTTCTATAATTGCAATGATTAGACCTCTTAAGTACTTACAAACTGATCATTTCACAAGTTATTGTGAAATATACGCATCAGTTTCCACTAGGGCATATTACTGACCAATCGTTTACAAACCGAGTCTTTTTTAAAGGCATGTATGAAATATTATATGTATTTATGCATGAGCCTCTGCTTATCCTGCTAAACTTTTTTTTTAATTCTAAAGCAAACTCATGCATACTAGAATTTATATACAATGTGACAATCATTGTTTCAGTATATTTCAGTAAATAAAGAGACATAATGTAATGGCAAATTATGCATAAATTAATAAGACACAAAAGTTGGTTGTAATTTTTTTCTTTTAATTCAATAAAAGTTGCTGAACAAAGCCTCTAACTTGCATTTAAGTATAAAGCTGTCTTACTTCGTCATAAAATTTAAATAAAATAAACACTTTTCAGATTTTTGTATAAAAAGCTTTATAAGTTAATAATACATGGTAAACATTAATGCTAGATGCAATCTACAAGTTCTGTATTGTAATACATGACCAGTTGTGTTGGATCAGTGCAAAATAATTTACGATACTGAAATTAATATCAAAACTTATATATCTGCTCCCCAATTTTCATTGGATCATGTCTATATCTAATTTAGGCTCCATCTAAATTATCTAAAACACGAACATAATATCCAATGAAAGAAAAATGTATATTTTATGTAATTCTAAATAAAGGCCAATGGCGAAAGTTATAGCTTACCTCTACGATGACCCTTTCTTATCATCAACCATTGCACTAATTAACTGGTTTGTGCAACATGCAGAGTTGCTTTCATGACCAAAGTAATATTCCTACAAAGCAAGATTATTGATTCAAGCTCAAACACATTTTCTTCATTAATATTATGTGACTATAACAATGCAACAAAGAATATATTAGTGTACTGTGTTCTGACAGTTTTAACCCTGCTATATCCAGAATGTTCCTTCACATTTGTTATTTTATAAAATAAAATTCTGTTAAATATTGTATGCTGGTCTGATTTGTTGATAAAGCTTTAACTTTTCACGATTGTTTGCTTAGGCATAAGTAATCTTGTTAAATTTTATCTAGAGTAAATACTTTGTGTAAGTTACTGGGGTTTATAGTTGACGTGATTTTGTGATGATATTTAAAAGAGTAATAGAGATCATAATAATAAAAACCATTATACAACTTAATAATCTAGCCACAGACAAAATGATGTATGCATTCAATAATTAAGACACTTATCTTCTATTAGCAGCTCACTGATATTTTAAATATGTAGTCCAGAAAAAGAACCGATGCATTCATTAAAAGATACTTGAAAAGAAACAATTTCCTATGCATGAAAATATATTTTATTACTGTAAATAACAGATTGAATAAAAGAAGCCACACAATTTTCTTTCTCAACTTAACTTTAATACCTGTTTATAAGAGTTTTCTACATAATTAAGCAGTATCAATAATAAGAACCACTTCAATATACATCTAAAAGTTAAAGTGTTTCCAGAATGTTCATAGTGTGAATGAAACAAGATTCATAACTTTACATATTGGGATGAATTCTAATGGCCACTGATCAGTACTTCTCAAAACAACATATTTGCAAGACCTAAAACAGAAAGAAAATGAAGTACATGTTAAATGATATATCATCTATTCCTATCATAATTTTGACAATGCATAACCTTTGTTACAAACTTTTTCTGCTATAATAACAAAGCAAGTGCAAAATTATTCACACTAGTTAATTCTACATTATGGTGGAGTGGGGTATAGAAAGGCAGCATATGCAAATGGTGTATCCACATCCACCTTATTTGATAGGATCCTCAGAACACAGTAGATGTCAAGAGAGAAGGGGACATAAACTACAACATATGTACTCTAGAGAAACAGACATTTAACATTCAGACTTCTTTATATAACCTATAGTATAATGGACAGTTGATTTCTACATAAATACATTTATTCACCATGAAAAAACACTACTGGTACAAGTTTATACATTCTATGATTTAAAACACTAAACACTATTGATAAAACCCTTTGTAAGATTTCCATATGTATACAATGTCTAAAAAATCACAAAGAGCATGTTGTTATGTTACATACTTGTTCTTCATTATGTATATTTATCATACTTGTATCACCATTATGTTTCTCAAAGGACTTGTGTATCCTCTATGACATAACTTTAGTTGATCATCTAAAGTGTACTTAGAACTGTAGTTTTTCTCAGTGGGATACTTTGTCATGTCCTATCTATTTTATGATAGCCAAGATTTCAAATCATCAAGATACATTTCTATCCCTATCCACACAATATAGATATGTACTAGATAAAGCTAAACAGGATTGGAGTTCTGCTGACAAAAGTGCATTGAATCAATTACAATACTATAAATCCTTATGAATGTTGGACAAGTTACATGAAACTAAGGTTTGCTTCTAATAAATGTCATATAATACATGGTATTTTCCCTGTTCATTCTCTATACAAGTCCCTATAATAGAATATGATTATGCAAATGCTTTCACCTACTACTACAAATTTGTATCAACGGACAAATATTTAACATCTTAGGAAATGGGACTGGTAAAGTATAAAATGTCATAAGTTACATATATCTATCACAATATTTGAACAAGTTTTCATCCAAATTTAATATGGACCATTTTAAGCCACTATTACATCCATCTTACATTTATCTAGATGTAGATATGGGTAAACAAATTTACTGAATCTTGATTTAATTGTAACATATTGCTAACACAGAAGACGTTCCTAATACTAACAGCTGTTCAAAAACTTTTTCCTTACCTGTACATGTTTTGATTAAATTAAACATTAAATCCCATTTTTCTCATACATTCTTTATGGGCCTCAATCAGATCATGACAATTTTCTTCTCCATTTTGAACTATACTGAAAAAACAACAACAAAAAACATTTACATCACTTGAATAAGAGTAGTATACCAGAAAGCTTCTAACGATCTATTTTCATGCCAACTAAAACTTGTATCAAAAAATCTAACTACATAATGGATCATAAAAGCCAAAAATCATTATAGAATGCAGATTTAACTACTTTGATCAATTAACACTCCATTTTACAAAAATGCACACCAAAAAATTATCAAATTGAATTATTCAAAAATTATATAAAAGTTATAGCTTTCCGAAATGAAAATGTATTTCTGATAGGAACTTTCCTCGACTCACAAGATTAGCTTTTCTCGTTTTGTGCTGCCTTCTATATGCAAACTTTTTTCAGAAACACATGCCACAAGCCTTCATCCTCCCTCTGTTGGAATCCAAAACATCTCTCATGAAAATCATCATGCATCAACTCTCCACCAATAGGAGAGTACTACTATCAAATGACGCTTGTGAATCCTTCTACACACTACTACCGAACTATCACTTCGGAGTTTGGCTCGAAGATGCAAGCACAGGAAAACTGTGGGGAGAACAGGTGGGAAGTGTGAGAGGAGGGAAGTACCTATTAGAAATACATTTTCAGTTAAGAAAATTATAACTTTCATTAAGGTAATCTCCCTCTGCTCACAAGATTAACTTGAATCCCACATTAAAATGGAGGAGGGACTGGTGCAAGGGAAGCACAGGCGTATCTGAGCCAGGTATCTTAGCCAGGAACATCGACATGATCAGGAGGACCAGACATGGTGGAACATTAAAGGGAACACATCCTCATGGGAGAGAATTGTTTAGCAATGTGATCTTAAACAGAAATCAGAACCATTCAATCCCACAATGGAAAGTGGGCAAGTGTAGTGGCTAGGGCACGACAGACTGTACTCGGTAAGTCAACTACATCCAAAACCTCACTTGTTGGGTACCAAAATCCTTGCTAGGGTAGGATGAGGATCATACTATCTTCACCTCAAGTCCTACAGTCAAGAGGGAACCTAATATTCGACTCCAGGAACTCACAGGGTAACTTAATACCAGAGATCTGAGAATGTGTCGTCAGGAATCCAAGAGAAGTCCAGCACATGCACTAAACCCCTGCGACTGTGAAAAAAGCCCGAAACGACCCCAGGTCGGTAACAACCTCATCACCTGACAAGGGAAAACGCAGGACAGAATTGGAAACAGGCCACGTAGACCTTCTGCGACCCATAACACAGAAGTCGAGGGGGGGAAGATGTACATCCCAAAACATGTGTGAAGACTTATGTGATTGGTTCACTTGATCTCCATAACCTCACTCACTGGGTGCCAACATCCACACAAAGGAAGGAGGAGGGCACCCAATCAAAGAGGTGAACTGCATTTGGGCATCTCAACTCCAGGAAATAGTCACACATCTGGTAAGTCCCCCTACACTGGCAGAACACCACCACCCTACTCTGAACTGAATGGTTATAGCTATCTTTATGGAACCTAGCAGCTTGGAACTGATAGGTGGTAAGAACTCCCATACTCCACTGGAAGAAAGAGGGGAAAAATGTGATGGAGAGTCCGGAGCGACTGCAACAGCCAAGACAGTGCAATGGGTGATCACGAAACCCTATTTTGAAAAGCAGACCACACTGATTTATCCAATCTAGGCATGGCAGGGATGGGCAGCAATCCCCTTCTGCTTTACTCTTGCTGTTCATGGGAAGTATTGTCCCAGGACAGGCATATTAGATGCAATGATCACGAGGATTTTATACTCTATGTGATCTTGTGAAACATCCCATCTCAAAGGTGAGAGTACATAGCCATGGAAAATGTATAAGAATCAACATGATTTACAGTGCGGATTAGATATCAAGATGTCTGCGAATGGTTATAGCCATTCCAAGTACAGACAGAATACCTGGTCAGACACCACTCGCCACACAGCAGGATCCAAAGTGAAGCTGAAGCGGGGGCTCCTGAAAGAAAAGAAAACATTAGTGAGGGCTTACCTCATGTCACAGCTACGCCTAAGTCTGTAGAATAGCCACAAGCAGCAGGAAATACCCCGAGGAAGCAGACAAGGAGGAATAGGACAACTGGATCAAACATCGAACCCAATTGGTCATGTTAACCGGGAAAAGATCACGTACCTTGTTGAAATGTTGTACGTTAAAGGATAAGGTGGGAGGAGTGGTACAAGGTCCTGGTAACGTCGAGGGTGAAAATATTTGACCTACGATGCCCACAGGCCTGGAAGAGGAGAAAATATGCCTTAACAGAGAGGTAAAACAGGGAACACACAGACAGAAATTTGAATGGAGGTAATGTGAGGGCACGAAGGACCACTTTAGGGTCTAAGTCTGGGAGCTACTGACATCTCGGGGCCAATTGAGCCTGAAGGAATGGATCAACATGGAAAGGACAAGGGAAGCAAAGACCCTACAGAAGCAGAAAAAATGAAATGTATGGGATAACACTGCTCGAAATCCCAAAATCGAGGAGACCAAAAAATGACAAAGTAGATTTATCAGAAGTTACAGAAGCAGGAAGTTGTGAGTTCTTGGTCAGAGATGAATAATGTAGGAAAGAACCAACCATGTGATGTATAATGGCAGACTTCAGTCACTGTCAGAGTAACTCTAGGCTCAATTTTAAGAAAATAAGCTGACTCCTATGGAGAGATGTATGGACCTGAGGAGGTTTTAAGAAATGTGAATACAGAAATTGCATTCAATTAGATCCATGAAACTGAATTCATACAAAGTAGTAATCTGATTATTATTTTACACTTATTCAGCTTATTCACTGGGACATAGGGGAACATCCTATCAGTGAAATCATATCCCAAACTCTGGAACACATCCCAAAATCTAATAGTTTGATGAAGAATAGAAATGAAATTAATGTAATAAATGATAATAATTTGATCAGAAACCAAATGAACTGTAAAAACTTGTATCTTTCTTGAAATCATGTTAACTAAAATTTGCAAAAATTTCATAATTTGTAATGAAAAATTACAAGTGAATTACAAGTAATGAAGGGGAGTATTTCACTGGGAGGATGTGCTGTCCTTGTAGTTGTGGTGAGATAGAGTCTAATACTGACATCATAGACTGGCAAAGTACACATTATTACATGTATGGGTGAGTATTTCATTCAAAGGTTTAGTGCATGCACAAAAACTTCAGCAGTAGTGCAAAGTATTAACTATCTGTCCCACAGAGAGGCGATTAGCATTTGTGAAATAACGATTCAGTATACATTCTGCCATGAAGTGATATTTTAATTCAATATAAAATGTTTAGAAAAGTTATTGTAATTTTATTTATTATAATGAAAAGTAAGAATGCACCCATTTGCAACATATACTGAATATATGTATATGTAGAATGTTATACAAAGTTACTCATAAGCTTTAGAAAATAAACCTGTTAAAACTTGTGTGTCAGCATTGAATGTTTGTCAACAGTGGGGTACTTATGGCTTAAATACACCATTTTCCATCTAAATCAAATATCTTACCTTTAGTGAAATATTTAAAAGCAAAAACTGTAATTAAATGAGTTTCAATATTTGAAATTGTTTGGAAAAACAACAAGAAACAGAAGATTTATACATATAAGTAGGATATACACATTTATTAACATTTAATGCACAAAATAAAATATTATGACAGTTACAGTTAATTTTAGGGAGGAATAACACTGTTGACAGTAGGACTCCTAATGCAGAGAAAAAAACTAGCAACCATTAGCTAGTGCCTTTAAAAGTTCAGGACGACATCCAAAGTGTGTAATATGTTATTGATAATACATTTTTCTTATAGCTATTTGTACTTACATTTTTACAGACATCTCAGATGTAGATCAGTAGGATAGCTTTTAGCCATGATGATACACAGTTAACAATAACATTATACTACATTATAAAAGTCAGTACTTCACGAGTATAATGAGGGGAATATCCAGTGTCACAACACTTCTCAATTTAATCAAAAGTTCACTTTGTTCATTATGTATTGGGTAACTATGAAGTAATTTTCAGTGTATTGTTAATCAAATTTTAATTACACTAGCTTTCTGGTTAATACAGACAGTGTGTCAGGAAGAGAGTTGCTTGCATCTGTATCTGGTTGCTTTTAGTTTTAAATTATGAATGTAGCAAATTTGTTGACTGCACCAATGAAATCAGCAAACTGTGAAGTGAAATTAGTTTTACAACTTTTATAGAAGTATTGATAAAAATTATTTTAAATCACACTTTAGAGAAGTATCCTATATTTGCAAATACAGTTGCAAGATGAAAATAGATTTTGCATAAAATATTTTTCATTCACAGATTACGACTGGTTGAAAATATAGGCTTCTAGCTCTTTACAAATTAAAAATATTATTTTACAATTCAAAATATATAATGTTACATATTTTATGGTTAATAGAAATTTTTTTAATATACTCATACAGTTACTGATCTCTCTGCATCATTAAGAGCTAGAATCTCACATTGAAAATGGTGAAGGGGCCAGTGCAGACCAATTAAAAAACAAGCTCTTTTCTGAGCTTGTGTTGAAGCAATCAAGCCACCATGACAGAAGGATGCAGTAACACAAGGGCAAATAAGTCGAAGCAATCAAGCCACCATGACAGAAGGATGCAGTAACACAAGGGCAAATAAGTTGAAGCAATCAAGCCACCATGACAGAAGGATGCAGTAACACAAGGGTGAATAAGTTGAAGCAATCAAGCCACCATGACAGAAGGATGCAGTAACACAAGGGCAAATAAGTTGAAGCAATCAAGCCACCATGACAGAATGATGCAGTAACACAAGGGCGAATAAGAGATTGCAGGGCACAATCCACTGATTCCCCAGAACCCAATAAAAAGGACCCATTTGTGCAGAGTAGTTGCCCAGTATATACTTGTAATGGCTTATAGTGGTGCAGAGAGGTAAATAGCATTTCTGAAGCTCTGTGATATAGCACTATAGGATGATACCTACCAGCAGGGC